ACTACTGACTGAATTATCATAAGTACCAGGTGATCCTGCATACAACTAAGTAACAGTGTTAAGATACGGTTTATCAACTTAAACCTGATTATTCGGTCCCAATATGAATTCCGAATTAGTATATTTCGGCGTAGTTCCTTGTCCCGAGGCCAATCCGAATGCCGCCAAATGCACGCAAAGTTAAGAATTACGAATCAACTCCATGAAATATGGTTTACCCAAAATAAGAAAGAAATCTGGGGAACAAACAGTCAGATGGTAGTGATAGTAGATGCCGCGCTCTAAGACAATGGCAAGGCTGACTGAAAAATAATGTAAAGCTTGACGACATTCGGTGGCATAACGAATGCCTTCTATCATTAAACATACTACAAAATCTCTAAAATCGAACATGTGCCAAGATAGTAAAAAACGCGGTTTCCATAACAATAAAATGTTCTGGATATCCGTTAAGCCGCAAATTCTGGAAGTCTAATTTGGTAAGACAGCTATTCGTAAAACTTAAAATTCGCAATTATCTGAACAGTAATGAAAATTTGGCCTTTTAAATATACTTCAAAAGACCGTATCCAGAAGGCCAGAGGTTTGCAAGTTTTAACCAGAGCTTTTCTGTTGAAATGCTTGTTAATCGTGTTATTTAATTTCCACAGTTTCTATTTTATGCATGTCGAGAAGCAGGATAGCTTGCGAACGCCAAGGTGAGTTTTAAGTTTTTCCAACGTATGGAAGAACATATTTCTCACAGAAAGACAGAATTCGTGCTAAACAGACAAAATCTTGTCAGACCATGTCAGGAAAATACCTTTTACTGCATTGTGAAAGTCTATGCGAAATACTCTATTAAAGGCGTATATTATAATTATTTTCAGTTGATACCAAACATTATGAGCATAGAAAATTCACAGCAGAAGGCATAAGACGGGAACTTTTAAGCAATCAAAAGTCTCGCCTGATTTGTGGTTAGACTGGACCACTAAGTGAATGAGTAACGAATTGCGGTTGCAGAGTTTAAGAAAAATTTGGAAGGATTTTTATCCTAATGCATGTATTCCTTCAGTTACTTGGCACCTACTATCAACGACGCTATGCAAAGATAACAAAGAACGGCAACCATTTTGAGATCAAAATCATGCTGTATTCCTGATTTTAACGTGAATGAATGAACCTACGACACTGGTCCAAGAAAAATAAACAATAATTACATATTTTGGTCACATCCCTGCGATTACACTAGACCAAAAAAGGAAGGCGACGTGATTTCGTAAGCCCCATGAAGAAAAATATTTAATTGTAAAATTCATTCCTACCCAGTAGAAATTATCAGCATATATTATATAGTCAAAAGCCGAGGTGTACTGCTATTACACAGCTTTTAAAACTTTCGACTGTAACGTCGACTTATATTCGCTTTCATGGAAAGGCATCACTTTCGGGTTACGAGGACATCAACTTTAGGAGATATTCCTAATTGCCCCACTCCGGTCCTCCGCTAATCAAGCAACCATAATGTCCTAGATTTCAAGACGCGTCAACGAAAAGTGTTCACAAAATGCCTGACATCTGATTTTCGCTCGACCGTCTGCTGTATTCGACTAGCGTTCGTCTTGATAGTCCCTCTGGCAACTTAAATATGTAAAGTAACCGTCGGTCGCTATTCTGATCTCTCGATCAGGATCGTCGAAAACGAAGAACGTATTACAGTATTCTAAACTCTGTCTATTGTGTTCATGCTAGCAGCCGTCTGAAAATATTCCTCTGCCACGCAGCAAAAACACGCGAATGACAACTGTTGTAGCGTCCTGTTGTACATACGGGAAAACTTTCATCGATTTCGCTGTCCAAAGCTTAACACTTACTATGGCATTCATGGGAAACGGCTTGAAAAGATATCCTCGACGACTGTATCGGTTGCCTTCGAATATCAGGAAATCACCATCTGACGTCACTTCTCCACCAATAGCCCTACAATGC